ACAGCAATTTCTGTAAATCCATTATGGGTTGTTAAGACAAGACTTCAAGTAAGTTTAGATAAAGTTTACTGTTAAAACATTAGTGGTTTTTTCATATTGTTTTTGCCAACACTGGACATTCATTAATTCATTTTTTCCTGATACCCATTAGACACAAGGAATGAGACCCGATGTTGTTCCTTACAAGAGTGTTCTGTCTGCTCTGACAAGGATTACACGTGAGGAAGGCATAAGAGGCCTATATAGGTCAGTTTCTTTGTCCTGGTTTCAAGTTTAATGTTATGGGCCTATTAAATTAAGGCAACCATCTTAAGACAAAACTGTTTTTGTGTCTAATTGTTTTTATTTGCACTATTATTTCCCAATGATCAGTGGTTAACAGATTACATGTTAATTTCTTTTACCCCGTTAATTTTTGCTGGCTCTCTGAGATCAAAATTAGCTCTCTTTTTATATATAATGATAACAGTTGGATCATTGAGAAAAAATGTCTATTTGAAATGATACATCTTTCTTCATTGATCCTCACCCATGTTTATATAAATCATGCCAAGTTGAGTAGTCCATAGATGTAAGCAAACAGCCTTCATGTCATAACTGCTGCACAGTATCAAACCACTTTCCAAGGGAAAAAAATGATATAGTGAACTGAAAGTGTGATAGCTTGAGTCTGTTTCTGTGTATTTAGTTGACATAGAGTATTTTGTTGATGTGAAACAGTGGCATTATTCCTTCATTGGCTGGCATAAGTCATGTTGCAATTCAATTTCCAGCATTTGAAAGGATCAAGTCATACATGGCAGAAAAAGGTATGCATGGATGCCTAGTGAATTAAGTCTTCATTCATTCAGCAGTTCTTGAAATAAGTGTCTTTCTGTTTTTTTATCTGTACTTGTTGCTCATCAAATGAAACTTTCGGATATTTTAGATAACACAACTGTTGATAAGCTAAGTCCTGGAAGTGTTGCCATTNATAACTGCTGCACAGTATCAAACCACTTTCCAAGGGAAAAAAATGATATAGTGAACTGAAAGTGTGATAGCTTGAGTCTGTTTCTGTGTATTTAGTTGACATAGAGTATTTTGTTGATGTGAAACAGTGGCATTATTCCTTCATTGGCTGGCATAAGTCATGTTGCAATTCAATTTCCAGCATTTGAAAGGATCAAGTCATACATGGCAGAAAAAGGTATGCATGGATGCCTAGTGAATTAAGTCTTCATTCATTCAGCAGTTCTTGAAATAAGTGTCTTTCTGTTTTTTTATCTGTACTTGTTGCTCATCAAATGAAACTTTCGGATATTTTAGATAACACAACTGTTGATAAGCTAAGTCCTGGAAGTGTTGCCATTGCATCATCAATTTCAAAAGTGTTTGCCTCTGTAATGACTTATCCACATGAGGTATGTATGACCTCTCTCGCTAAATTTCTATGTATGGATCATAACCTGAGCATTCCTTTGAGTGACAACTTTGTACTTTCCAACACTTTTATATCACTAAACCCTTGTTCGGGAGAATAGAAACACTCTTTGCAATTTCAACTTCATGTTGCATGTTTTGAACAATAGATTCTGTATCAATTAGAGATAAAACCAATTTACAAAATATATAAGTAGGTGAAATATAAGGATGACTTGATGATAAAGTTGGAAGCAAGAGTGGAAAAGGTTATAGGTTCAATTCTTCGCGCTGAGATGTACATGTCGGGGAAAGGTGTTAGAGATCGTATATCAACTAAATATGATATCAATTTACATTATAAGATAGTTTTATAATATGTAAAAATCAATTTTATGAAAAAATAAACTTCTTCATGAATGAAAATTTGTATGTTTATGATTAAAAATCCTAATTAAAAATTCAAATTTCCAGGTAATACGATCCCGGCTGCAAGAGCAAGGGCAGGCCAAAAGTAACGGGATACAATATACAGGGGTTATTGACTGTACCAAGAAGTTGTTTCAAAAGGAAGGCATTGCTGGGTTTTATCGTGGTTGTGCAACGAATCTTTTAAGAACAACTCCATCTGCTGTTATTACATTCACTAGTTATGAGATGATACAGAGGTTTTTGCAGCGAGTTGTACCCCAGGATAAAGGGTATCCACAAGGCTCTTCTAAACCCAATGAACTGAACAAAGCTCAGTCAAAAGCAGAAGCCAGTGACACTGATAGGGGACAACCACCGTCTCAGTCTAACATGAAAGCTTCGTCAATTCCTCTCGGAAACAAAGAGCAGCTAACACGACATTGATTGATTCACAGTTATGTTTACATTTAGTTTCTAACTTAGAGGATTTTCATTCCTTTTTGTCCAAAGAAATAAAGAAGTTAACAAGGTCATGTTCTCAATCATAATAGAATGAAGGAATATACGTGCCATTTACATTTAAGGTTTTTGTGTTATTCAATCAATCTCTTTTGCTCGTAAATAATAACTTTTTGGTACTTTCTGAATTAGCTCGTGTTCAAATTGGTGCTTTAATTTTTAGTATTTTTAATATTTGATATTCAATAAATATGTTAATTTGTTGTTGAGATTACTTACATATTAACTGTCAATATGTAACTATCTTATTAGATATTTGAAGGTGTGTTGGGATGTGACTAAGAGTAATTGAATAAATATCAAGACTAAAAATAATTTATACAATTCAATTTTGGAATATCAAAACCTTATTTTAAGCGTTTAATAATGTAAGCATTTAATAAACTTTTTGCCCTTGAATTTTGGGGTAGTAGATTTTGGTCCCAAATCTAAACAAAACGTTATTAGTCCCTCAAAATTGAAAATGATATATATGAAAGAGGAACTTTATGAGCTTATTAGAAGTTAAATGTGATAATAATAATACTTGTAGTTAAGATTGATTAGTAAATACTTATACTTACCACAGAAAATTTGGAAAGAACTAATATAAAGTAATGTATTTACTGTGATTTAGACATTTTCAAAAATACTACAAACTTATTTTAAAATTATTAAACGACCCCTAAAATATCTAATAAACTTATTGTGAAAATATTTTGAAAGTTTTTTATAAATTCTATTCAAAACTCTCTTTTTAAAGCTCCTTTTTTTCGGTTGTTTTTGAAGTTATCTTATTAAGGTTAATTCCTTACAAGAAAAAAGAGTATATCTTATAAGAATCAGAACAAAAGACAAACTGTAAATATATCTCCCTTGTTGAGGTTGTTTCTTTTCTATTTATTATTTAAAAGAAAATATTTGTAAAACGATAATTTATTTTCTTCAAGTTGTTTGTTTTGTATTTATCCTTCAAATATTCTCAATATAACATAAAATTCCATAAGACTTTGTTCACTTGAATAAATTTAAAAAAAAGTGATTGAGGAAATTTGAGAAGATTTGAAGATAAATGTTTTTGTTGTTTATTTGAATAAATTTGGAGGTAAGTGAAAGTGAATTTGGAAGTAAAGTTTGTAAGAATTAGTGTAAAATTTGATTGATGTGACAAATTAAAAAAATTTACTTCTAAATACACTCTCATTTACCTTCAAATACACTCAAATAAACAATAAAAAAAATTTACCTTCAAATACTCTCAAATCTCCTCAATCACTCTCCCCTAAATCTATTTAAGTGAACAAAGCATAAGTGTTGGGTCTATCAAAGAAAAGGTGAAAGTCTAATCATATAAGAAATTGACACAACTCTCCGTCCAAAATATTAAGACAATGAGTTAATGAATTTTTCACTTTTATTTATTTTCTCATTTGTATCTAAGGTGACATTTGGCTCACACTTAAATTCTTAATGATTTAATTAATAAATTTCTTTTGATGATGTGGAAACTTTTAAAAACATGTTTGCTTCATGCCTTTCTTGTCTCCTGGGTTGCATGTTTTTCATGCATTTTTCTCCTTCACTTTTCAATACTTTGACTTTTCTTCTTGGTTAAATTTTAAGCAGGCTTTACAACAGTTTGATGATTTTAAAGTAGTTCCTTACTTTATCTTTCAAAGCTCACAATCCTAACCTTATTTGACTTAATAGGCCTAAATACAAAACTAACATTTATACTTATTTTACACATAAAAGTACATTTTTTATTTTTAAGAATTTACAACCAAAATACACTCTATTCTACAAAAACTTATTTATTTAAGAATATTTAAGATTCTTTTTATGTACATACTCATCAAAAGATAACTATCTAATTGCAATTTCAACACCACACAAGTACTAGACATAAAGAAACTCGTAAAGATAAATTGTAAAGAAATCATAAAACAAATCACGTTTGGATGTCCTAAACGTGGAGAAACTACTCGAGAAACATGCGTGTCCATTGTCCCACATCGAGAATTCCGTTTATGAAGACCCTACTACGCACTAGTTTCGTACTGACCCACCCCTGTTGTAGAACTTTGGGAGGAATGCATAAATTCTACCTTCTATTCATACTAATAATCCTGACTAAATTAAAATATAGATCATAAACATACAAAAAATAGGAAAAGTAATGCTTAGATAAATTTAAAATACCTAAAGATATATTAAAGATACTAGTTAATATTTTCAATATACTCTTAGCTTTTGCTTTTACTTGTTGCAAAATTACTAAACGCCTAAGTGTAGGGAAGTACTATATATGAAGAATCAAATTGCATCTCTAATGGGTTCATGCTGCATTTGGAAATGGAAGTGCCAAATTGAATTTGGGATGAAACTGTGTTGCATGATACAATAGGATGGTGGATGGACCAAATGAGTTCTGGGATAAACTATTTGCAATTGAGCAAAAACCGCATGAATTTCAAACTAAGCTAGACAAAATGGATCTAAAATTTAATGAAGATTCTCCTAAGTCACAACAAATGACATCAAACTAACAAAGACTCTGTTATTAGTATTACATGCAACTATCAAAATATGATGACGTTTTCTGTGTATATATATATATATATATATATATATATGTATGTATGATCAGATCATGTTTTTTATATAATATGTTGAGCTAAGGTATTTTGTAAGCATCCGAATCATCAAACTCCAACAAGACAAGTATTTGACGAACTCGTTTAGTCTAATGATGCAAAGTGGAGTTGAAATCTGCACAACAATAGAAATGAAAGATAGGTTCTGATGTATTTTGCAGATCCCTTTTATCAGTTTGTTTTGAAAAGGCGGTTTTGTGGGTTTATCAGAGTGTTTGGAAGAGGTGGGTGAGCATAGCTTTGAGAAGCTCTTATAGCACCATTAACGACAATTCCCTCCTGATTCGGTGGCTCATCCCTGCCACTGTGAATTCTCTCCAGCACCTCCAATACTTCAGCCATAGAGGGTCTCAATTCCTTGTCCTGTTGCAGACACTGAAAAGCCAACTCTGCCACCGAACCTATCATCATTTTTAGTTTCTCATCTGATTGGAAACCAAGGGAAGGATCAACCAACTCAGAAAAGGCACCCTTTTGAATCTTCCTAATGGCAAGATTTGCCAACTTAATTTCTTCCCTGTTCCTGTTCATATCAACTGCTTTGAGAGATGATATTAACTCAACAAGCACAACCCCAAAGCTATATACATCACTCTTTGTTGTCAGCTGGTAACATAGCCGATAATCTGGATCAACATAACCAGGGGTACCTCTTGGAGCAGTGGAAACGTGAGTGACATCATCAGGGAACAGCCTTGAAAGACCAAAATCCGTAACCTTAGCATCAAACGCATTGTCCAAGAGAATATTGCTGGTTTTCACGTCCCTGTGAATGGTGTCAGAAGCGTGGAGATAAGCCAATGCACTAGCAGTTTGTATGGCAATTTTCATTCTCAGATGCCATGGCAGAAAGCATGAATTTCCTTCATCACCATGGAGATGAGAGCTAACAGTGCCATTTGGGATGTGCTCGTACACTAGCAGTAAGTCCCGGCTGTGACGCGAAGTGCAGCCATAGAGGGACACAAGGTTTCTGTGTCGCAGACGTGTGAGAATCTGGATTTCATTGATGAATGACTCCACTGGCCTATAGCTGCGCTCGAACAGGCGCTTCACTGCAACTTCACGACCATCTCTAAGTTTTCCTGGTTGTTCAAAACCAAAAGTTATTCTACATAGCAGTTTGAAGTTATAATAGCAGATTTTCTTCCTTTCTTTAGAATCACGGAAAAGGTAATTTTTAAGTTTAATACTAGACGATTTTATATATTATAAAAATTTACTTTACTTATAGTCTCTAAAGAAAAATTGTGAGAAAGTATAGTTCTTACCCAAGTAAACAGTTCCAAAGCCTCCTTCTCCAAGCTTCCTAGCTTCATCAAAATTGTTGGTTGCCTCTCTGAGCTCGTCGAAGGAGAAGACAGAGATCCCAAAGTAGACACCTCCACTTTCCATGGACGTTGTATTTATGAAGGAAGAAGAATAAACGTTTCTTGATTTGTTTTGGAGGCCTGAACGTTTCTTTCTTCCTTTCAACAACAAAAGAATAACACCAACCAAGGCAAAAACCCCAACCAGGACTGGTATTCCAACACATAAAGCTGAAGAAAAAGGGCGAGGAAAGCGCGTTAAATAGGAACAACTCTGTATAACAGCGTGACCTTGTAGAATAACAGTCAGTAATGAAAAGATACAACAAATAAAACTTAAGTCTAATCCACAAAGACACCATTTTTAACACTGCTAGACTTCCCAGCATATATAGATAGATACGATCGATCATGAACTTGTCTATTATTTTTTTCTTTTTCAAACTTTGTCATGTATTAGTGCATGCCGGTATTTCACAGTAAATATGAAACTATGTTAGCGTGATTCAACATATATGCAAATAAAGAAAGTTAATCACAGTACCCAGTTTCTTAGCCTTGGCCGTTGGAGGTGGAGAAACCAGGGACGGGGAAAGACGAGGTGGTTGTCCATAATGACTGGGTGGGTCACAATTGAGGCGTTGACCTTCAAACTTCAACTTACACAGGCCATGAGGACAGGCTTTGCAATTTTTGGGCATGTTTAATTTAATTTGGAGAATAGAAAATAAAAGTGTAAATGAAGGGCAATTGCAAAAGGATCCAGATTGAGAAACCTGAAAAAGTAAGCATGCGAACGGAATGTTGGGCATGGGATAGTCGACTTCATGGGAAGAACTGAAGTACATGTCGTAGTTTAAAGACATGTTTTGACAGTGTCTGTATAAAAGCATGTTTGGAGGGGTTGAAATTTTGTTTTCGGTGTTGCGAAGGCATCCAAAGAAGGTAACATTGTTATAGATCTTGAAATACTCTTTATCCATCTCAAAAGGCTGCCTAGGCTGCTCTGGAACAACGGTGTCAAAATCTGGGTAATGGATGAAAATGGCAAGGTCATTGGGATCCAAAGTTGGATATATTATGGAATCAATTTTATACCATTTTTGGTCTGTCAGTGAGATTTGTTTGACTTCACTGTTGTCATCACAGCCACTTATTCGCAACCCACATTTTGGATCTTTGCTTGTTGTGAAGGGGGGGAAGATATGCCCCAGATAGCCACATGGTTGAGGAGAAGGAGGACAATCTTCTGGGTATTGTTCCCATTGAGCTGCAAGCAAGACAGGAAGCATGAAACAAGAGACTAGAAAATGAAAGCAAAACACGGAACCAAACATTGTGTGGCCCTTGAGCCAAAAAACACAGTTGGTTCTTCTTTAGTTTTATTGTGTCCGATGATCCTGGTTTGTCTTCATAATATAGTACCGTTAGCTGCAAACCAATGTGTTGTGTTGTGAGTATGAACCACGCAAGTTGACTTGACTTACCTTGACTTGAGAAACTAGCCCGAAAGAGGCGTATTTCGAATTCTGCCTATTATTCTTCAGGGGAGGAATAACACACGGCTATGCGTGAATCCAATGGCTTGACTTTTGGAGCTGCCTTTCTCACGAACTCCAACTACAATTTTGTTCACAAAAATTTCGACATAATTGAGACCACTACTCTTTATAAACCATCTTAAATTAAGTTTAGACGTGAGTGTCTTAAATATTAGATTTTAAGTTTAAGACAATTTTACAGATCATCATTTATAACATATCCAATTTTTTTATATATCTTGAATTTGAAAATAAACATTAATAAATAATTCCATAAAAATTTAATAATAGATAACAGATCCAACAAATAACAAATTAATTATAGCATCTTAAATAAATTTTAAACATAATTTAATCTTATAAAATTAACTTATAAAATAGAAGTATATATTAATCTAGTAAAAAATAAAATACGTGCTAACAATTTTTATTTCAATGATTAAAATATAGATTCATTCAAAACATAATGTATTCCTAAAATAAAATATAAATTAAATAAATGGTAGTTTGTCAAATGCATAAAAAGAGAAAAATAATTGGAAAAAAAGAGAAATGAGACATTTATTTCGACAAAATTATAAGAATATCAAAGACGTTATTGATTAATGATGTGAAATAAGTGTTTCATATTTGAATAAAAAGTAATCTAAAGCTAAAGCAAAAGTAAGACTATTTTAATATTAATAGTAATTCTTTTATAATAAAAA